TAGCTGGCTGGATTACCTTTGTGGTAATCCATCCTTTTTCTAAAAAAAAAAAAAAAAAGCTAGCGAGTCTCATCTAGTTTATGCCAAATACAAAAACACCCCACGTACGCTGGGTCGGATTTAGTCCGGACCGGTTTTAAGGGTCTACAAACACACCGTTGCTTGTCCAAATAGAGTTATACTTTATAAGTTGTCACTGTTATAAAACTAAGCCAGGTTTGAACTTGTTCTAGTTTTAGAGTGTTTTGTTCATTCGTAAAAAGTGGGTTAGAAGTGACCCTTTTCACGTTAATTTAATTTTGGGCCTTTAAACTGATTTAGCTATGAACTCATGGGGAAGTCGGTTCACAACTAAACCAGTTCTCATCCAAACTAGTTTAGGGATTAAATGTGTGTTAGCCTCAATGAGTTGCCAAACGCATCATTAGGATCGAAAATTACTTAAACCGGCTTCTCATCAGAATCTTATTCTTGATAAACTATAATTAAAGTAACAATCTCTCCATTGTGTTTGTTACTCATTTCTCAACTGTACCACATCGCGTTAGAAAACAGTTCACGAATGCGAGAAGTATTATTTATACACGCTTCTCATTACTAGAAGATGCTCGAATATCAGCCCAAAATTACCTAGACTCAAATAATTAATTCATAAGCAGCCAATGATTGGTCCTACCAAGTTCTAGACGATCGAAGAGTGCTCGTAGACTTGGACTCCCGGACACAAGTACTATATTTTGTTTGTCATTTTCTCCTAATAAACAATGAGAATCTAAATTGTTAACGTTACTCAAAAATTACACACAATCAATGATCTAATTCACGCACAATTCATTCTCTCTGTATATATATAAGCCTCACCTTCTCCTTATTCTTCACCAAATTAAATCATAGTCTGAACTTGAATCTGAAAATTTTCATATTTTTTTGTTCTGATCGTAATTTCAGTGAATTCTTTCAGTAGTTATGGGCTCCGAAAGTTACAGTGATCTCCACATCCTCTTCTTCCCTTTAATGGCCCAAGGCCACATGCTTCCGATGGCCGACATAGCGAAGATCTTCGCGGCCCGAGGGGTGAGGACCACCATCCTCACCACCCCGGCCAACTCCCCTCTCATCCGACCGTCCATCGACCGTGCCAAGAACCACATCCACCTCCACATTATCCCCTTCCCTTTGGTGGCGGGCCTACCGGAAGGGTGCGAGAACCTCTCGTGGGTCCCACACGCCGATATGGCCGCACAATTCTCGAGGGCGTCGGCCTTCTTCGGGAACCGTTCGCGGAGTCCTCGGAGACCTACGACCCGAGCTGGCGTCGTGACGGACATGTTCCTCCGTGACCCTACGATGTCGGCGGCTGAGCTAGGCATAGCCGCGCGTCGTGTTCCACGGGATGAACCTCTTTTCGCTATGCGTGTTTCGATAGCCACGACCCACAAGCCGTTAGAGAATCTTTTCCCCGAGGACGTACGAGTCCTCACAGTCCCAGGTCTTCCCTCATGACCATCAGGTTTGCTTAAATCCCAAGTTCCAGATCCAGAGGCCCGGTAGCTCGAGAATCGGAGTTCTTTCGAACGGGTGCATAGGAGTCTGATGCGAAGAGCTACGGGCGTGGTATGATACAGCCTTCCTCGAGTTTTGGAGCCTGACTAGTCCCGACATTATCCGGAAGATCGCCGAAGAAAAGCTTGGCATCAATGGCCCCGGTCGCGGCTGTGCAACAACGATAACGCAGCCGATAATGCTTATCGCAAAGAGGGCGACCAAACCGCTTCAACAGCCACCAAGTGCTTGGATTGGCTCGACAGCAAGAGCCCCCGGCTCCGTTGTTTACGTTTGTTTCGGTAGCATGAGCGATTTCTTTCGCTGCTCAGCTTCGAGGAGGATCGCCGCTGGCCTCGCACGCAATCGGAACATCCTTTCATTTGGTCGTGAGAACACGGGCGAGGAAAGAGTCAATATCCCAGAAGGCTTAGAGGAAAGGACCGAAGGGAAAGGCCTGATCATAAAAGGATGGGCACCTCAAATACCGATACTGAACCACAGGGCAACAGGAGGATTCCTGACACACTGCGGATGGAATTCAAGTTTAGAAGGGATCAGCGCAGGCCTGCCCCTTATCACATGGCCTCTATTTGCGGAGCAATTCTATAATGAGAAACTAATCGTGGATGTGCTAGATATCGGGGTTCCGGTTGGGGTGAAGAAGTGCACGCCCAAACCTGAAGAGCGGGAGGTCCTGGAGGCGGC